TCAAATAGTTCTAATATTGAAGGAATATAGTCTTCTACTTCTTAGAACTTATTATGAACGAAATTATTAATTGTTATAGATGGATATCAAGATGACTATACCCATCCAAGAAATTTATTTTTATCTCATAGTATATTTTTTAATGCATATTTTAGTGCTATGTTTAAAGCTTTTAGATACTTTTTTAAATCATACATTATATATAACAATAGAAATTTTTAAATATGTCAATGTTGATCACTGCCTGTGAAGAAAGTCCAATATATCTATACGTGTTGTACTGCAAATTGTTGATGCAAACTTATCTGCAGATTTACACATCAGCAATAGTTTTATAGCAAATAGACCATCCAATCCAAACCATCTGTTTACAGGATTATTTGGGCAGCAAACTTCATAATATATAGACTATTTAGTACTTATATAATATTTGTAAATAATATCTACATATTTATCATATATTTCTTTATTTTATATTTTCACAATTTGTAGTTCATCATATTTGTATATTTTCATCATTTACAATTCTTGTTAGTTTAATCTGAGATACATACATGACTACAGTCAATCAAAGAAAGTCATGAACCTCTGGATGCAATTCAGACTTTGAAAACAGGGGGAGGAAATTAGAAAAGTTTTGTCATATTAGGCTAACTGTATATTTGTACATTATATTATTTATCCATTACCTATCTTTATGTTTTAAGGGCCTATAACACATACCCTATTTTTTGATCATATTATTGTTTTAATTACAGCATTTATATCATATTTCCTATTATTCTCCATGTCAAATTTGTCACTGAATTGCTGGAATTTCATCGCATATTTCTGATCACTTTATGACTGCATTTATTTTGTACTAGTTTCATTTTCACCATTACATTGTTTGTCAGCTATGTATAGAATTACATTCATATTTAGGGCCGACCGTATTTTTTTAGTTCACTTTATCAAAATACTATTTACTTTTATTCATCTCATAAATTTGCATTTAAGTATCATAGATTTTTATTTCATTAAAAGGCTTTTGTTTCAATTTCAATCATTACCTATATTTTATACTTAGTATTTTTAGTGGATTAAATTCTTTGGTCAGGATAGAGATGACATTATTAGATTTTCAGTTTAATTAAATTGAATTAATTTATTCATTGCCATGATGTAGTTTCTTTGAAATAGTCATAGTTTAGATTTATTTGTGTTACTGAATGTACCAAGTTATATGATATATTCCCTACAAATATAACATATATATCTTATTATTATATTATTATAGTATGTATTACTATTTCTTTGGATCTTTGATTCTTTGTCTATCCATTTAGATATTCCCCCTTTATATTCCCCTGCATCTGTCGTTGGTATAAATTTAAAATAAATACTGAATAGCCAATGCAATATTTCAATTGACATGATCAATTCTTCAACTTATCTGTCCAACATAATGAAACCATTGAACAAAAAATTCATGTTTCAAGTTATTATTATAATTTAAATGGAATATTTCACACATGATCCTTTTTTTTTTAGCCATTTATTAACATGATTCAAAACCATTTAACATGAAGTGATATATTTTAGCGTACCCTTTTCTTCATACATTTCTTATCATTATTCATTTTTAAAGTACTGCCTTGTTTTTTGTTTTTATATTTGGTCAGTAGCCTAGATATTACATTTAAGGTAATAAACATTATTTGAAATAAAAATGTGTGTTATCTAAAATTATTCATCTATTGAAATTTCAGAAGATAGGCGTAGAAAATATTGGCTCAAAAGAATTCCAATTTTCTTTTCGGCTGCAGTGATCGACCCAAAAACCCTTTGCTTGTGTCCTAGATGCCTTTTATTAGATAACTAAGTCAATCCACTGACGTGGAAAATATTTACATTTTTAAACCATTTCACTGCATTGGCTGATTGCTTACTTACAATCACTGATAGGACGTCAAGCCGTACAATTGTAACTTAAAGTTTTGGCCAAAAATGTTGCCAAATTATTTTTAAAAGTGGTCTAAATTATCTTATAAAAGTGGTTGCAGTAATATAAAAAGTTGTCCGAGTTGACTTTCAAAGTGGTCCGAGTTGTCATTGGTCCTATTTGACCTAATTCATCCAGAAAAAGTATCACGTGACGTATTCGTTACTTATTTTGGGGAAATCTACAATTCAGAGGATTTTGCATTTTAAAGTTACTTGTTGCATTATTTACTTGAAATAATTCTCACAAAGTAGAATATCATTGGAAAAAGAAAAATTTTGACAAGTTTGGCACAAAACCTTTTAGTTTAGAGGCTAACAGTCCGCCATGTTTAGGAGTAAAGTTTAGAAACTTTTGTTTACTTTATGAAAATAGTTTTCAATTCTGCTAAAAACGTTAAGATATTGTTGACAGTGGAGTGTGTTCATTGCATGTAGGTATGACATCTTATTTCGAATAGATAATTTATATAGTCGGGCGGTTATAACGGTACAATACTCGGAGAACCTGTCAAAACGAAAGTCGAAACTTTTTTTTACTCACACTGACTGGGCCTAAACGGAATGCTTTACAAATTTATTTAGCATGATTTCAGCTACCTGCCTAATTTGTATGATAGTTATAGTGTTTAGTAGTAGCCTATCACCATCCTGATACTAGGCAAAGCTAAGTGACACTTTTCAAAGTCACCAGAGTATGACTCCAGATTCATCTACAATCAAATACTAAAATTCCATATTAAAGAGTTTTCCTGGCATTGTAAATGACTAATTTCAAGCCAAGGTTAGTTTGATCTGCATTTCAATGTTCTTGTTCATTAGCCATTTAAATAACAAGGGGAAACTGAGCAGAGTGAACAATGTCAATGAGCCAGTTCGGCTATTCATGTGCATGCACATCACAACAATTGAACAAACTCATTCCCTTTTTGGTCTCTATATAAACAAAAGGTGGCAGTCTATGTAAGGGATCTAATACAAATGGTTTACTGCATTTACATTTGTCAGTCTCATGATATACTGAACAAAGTTGATTTCGACAACATTTAAAATTATTAATGGATAACTGTCAATGTAGTAAACCGTTTATATTATATCCTTTTCCATAGTAAATCGACACTACTTTTCCTTTGGTGAAAGCAAGAAATGAGCGTGCTGTTGCACATGTGCACACACACATTCGTACTGCCTTATAGGATACATGTAACAGCTAGGATACTACTGCTACTCTGTTGTCACTTCAACGAATTCAACAATCGAATTGGATTCAATTTAGTGACTTCTGTGGCGTTCATTGGTTTCTATGCTCTTATAAACTGATTTTTTTTCAAAGTCTTAAAAATTTTGTCTCGATTCTTTTTTGAATTATGAATTTTTGATGACTCTTGGTGAAATTATCACATAACATGAATGGAAATTATGTAAGAAAATGTCATTATCATCAGTTATTGAACATGATTTATTGTATTCGTAGTTCAATTATTCACAAACCATAATTCTATACCAATAAATAAGCATTTATCGAAACTTGGAAATTATTTAATAATATTCAATTAATGAACCTGTAAAATAAATATTTAACAAGAGTTAAATACTTGACTTTTAACTCAATCATTTTTTGACAGATATTGTGAAAATGGATTTGTTCATGCTCACTCAAGAATGATTTATATATGTTTAAAAAGTTATGAAATATATTATGCACAAGGTTATATGTGCTCCAAAAATAATGTTTATTTTGCAAACATAACAGGTTGATCTGTCGATTGACTTACATGAAGCAAAGCTGTCATTGGAAAGTGGGAATAAAGAAAAAAGGACTCACAATTTGAACAAAGCATATGAATTAATTATGAGACTTATAAACAAGGTTAATTGCAAGGCCATTATGTTTAAAAAATAACTTTGTTTAAGGCTGGTTGATTTTCAAGTCTATAGACTTCTTAGAATTGCCAATTTGGTTAGAGTTGTGAAAAATGATATTTTATTTTATTAACAAATTACAGCCATGTTTCAGATGTTTGGTGTGATGGCAAATATCTCTATCAAAATAACTGCTATGTAGGCTTTGCTTTCTGGACCAATGTCTTTTTGCCTCTGTGTAGAATAATTTGAAAGATGGCGTTACTGAAAGTTATTCACATTATAGTAGGAGCATAGGTCAAATAAAAAAATGCAGTTAAATCAAAACTACTGATCTCTACTGTAATGCTGACTATACATGCAGTTTGATAAGTGTAAAAGGTCAATGTAAAATTGACTTATAGTCGACTCTGTTAAGGTGTTAGTTTAACTAACAACTCGTTTAAAAATACACAAAAGTAAACAAACAAGAACAAACAAAGGATAAGATCTTTACAGTGAAGTGTGCCTACATGACACCTTGACTGTTTGGCTTGAGCAAATGTCACATCTCATAAAAAAGAAAATGGAATTTGAAAAAACTAGGCCAAGTTATTAAACACTGTTAATGAAGTCAGTTAAGTCACTATTCTTTGATGTAAATATGCATATATGTCGATAATTTTGTAATGTTTTTTTAATGTTTTAAAATTGGCTTCTGAAACATTGACTATTGTGCTTGTTGACTTGGCTTTCACACTATGGGAAAGCCTATTATAGTTGTCGATAACCATTTATTTTTTAGGTATTTCCACATATTAGCTCTAAAAATTGTAAATGAATTTATATGTGGAAAAATGACTAAGTTGAAAAAAAACTTCTTTTAGAGAAGTTAGGGTGGTGCATGTAGCTTTTTTTTTTGTCGTCACTGAAACATAAAAGTAAAAAAAAAGAATTTAGCCCAACTTGGGCAATGAATCTTAAGTTTATACCACAACTTTTAACATTTTGATGACATCAAATAATGACGTTAATAGTATTCAGATGACAATTGACAAATGTTATATCCTCTTTGACTTGTTTTCTCATAAATCATTATCTTACAACTCCTGGTTGTTTTTTTTTTAAAAGGACATGGCAAGTTATAACATTATCAGCCTACTCGTTTAACAGGGAAAAAAATTAGCTGAAAAACAAATTTATTAACAGATTTATTTGTATTCTCATTCACATGAACTTACATTTAAAAGAAGTTACAAGTGCATTTTGATTGAAATTCAAAAGTATACCAATTATTTTCTTTGGTGGGTCAAATAGGTGCTCACTGGTTTTGGGAAGTGGAAAAATGAATTTGGATTAAAAAGTGTTTACTGGATTATCTGCCCATTTACAACTGGGTTGACTCGAATAATTTAGTTGGAACTATAACACCAGACATTTGAACTTGGATAGACCTGATATTGTTTTGTTATACATGTTAATACTAAAACCCACTAGTAAATCTTACTGTTCTATTTTTAGTTAGGGTAGGAATGGAGGAAGGTTTCTTGGTTGATGTTTTACCAAGAATTTAGAATGAAGTAGTCACATATTGCATTGTAAGTTTTTTTTTTATTCAAAATCATTTTTGATGAAATTTTACTTTTAATGGGATATTATTGTGAATGTTGATAATAGCTGAAGGAATTGCAATAGTCAACATGTTCGTAAAAATTCAATGAACAATTTGTTAAACAGGATCTCTTATTATCTTATTTTACATCAGTCTTACTTCAAATATTTTGTCCTTTTTGATGTGCACCCATTAAGTTTAAATGAATTTTAAAGCTCCATTTCTAAAAACTATGAATTTATCATGCAAAAAATTGAGAAGTGTTGGCCATGCCAAGGCTTCGATTTAAAAAAATCAGTCCTTATTCATTTCTATGCCTATTTTTCAGGTTATATAATAATTTATTGGTTACCATGGAGACAGTAGTAGCTGTAGCTATTGGTGTATTGGCCAGTATATTTTTAATTTCTCTGGTCGTTGTTCTCTTTCTCTGTCGTCAGAAATATTGCCGTAAAATAGATCTCATAACAGCTCAACATAAAGATTCTAGGTAGACATCTTTTTTTCAGTTAGTTACTCTTGGTGATCCAAATAGTACCTTTCCAGCCTATCTCTCCATTTTCAGTAATGATGACTGGAGGAAAAATTTGTTGACTTTATTACCAATGTCATAATACAAGAGTAATTTAGTAAGATAATAGCTAGCATTCAATCCAACCAAATTACTTTATTTACAAGCAACTGATTTAAGAAAGGTGCCTATTGCAGTCAAGATGCAGTAATTTGACATTTGTAATGATTCTCTACCAGATTAAGTTTGATGATCCTTATCAGATCCTTATCCTTTTTGTAGACCTGATGTACAGTTAATAACAGAATCTAGTGATATAGAAACACATACCACCTCCTCTCAACCACCATCTACTGATGTAGAACTAGAACATGTACAACTCACTAATCCTAGGATTGAAGAAATATTAAAAAATGAACAGTGGGTTGATGATGCCACGTGAGTTATCTTTCTTTCTTTCTTGATTTGTTGAAACATAGTGAAAAGGCCAATATGTCACACCTTCTTGACATTTCATCAGCATCTGCATAACTTTTGTATTCAAATCTACATAATTTGTTAATTAAATCTGATGTCTTTACTTTCTATTTATAAAAGTATTACTGACAGCCTTCCAATAATTGAATATTATGAGACAAAGTTTAAACCAATCTCTAATACCTTATTTGATTTTGTGATATCACTGTCTGATTGCATTGATTTTCTTCATATATCTATTTTTATTTTCAGTGGCCTGATTCCTCACTGTATATCAATATTAAAAACATGTCATGATCTAACAGAGAAACTAGTTGGTATGACTATGGGCAATGCTCAGATGATTCGTACACAAGAAACTCTGACAGATATAATAGCTGTGGCTAAACGTATCAGTCCTAGAGTAGATGAAGTTGTGAAATCTATGTATCCACCTTTAGACCCAAGATTATTGGAGGCCAGGTTAGTATAGTTTGTAAACTATGTGGACTCACTCAAGAGGCCGGGTACATGTAATTAATTAGCTTTGTGGACTCAGAATGTAGAGATATATTCCAAAGGCTATGAAGACTGAAAGCAATACTGAAATCTAAATCCTTATACTACTGGCTATGTAAGTTAAAGATCCCTCAAGAAATGCAAATAAAAACAGGGTGAAGAATTAGTGTCAGTAAAAGAGCTAAGATTCTTCCATTGCATACTGCATCTGGCTATCTATTTTCAGAAAATGGTAATTTAATTTTATATATTTATATTTCAGATGTACAGCTCTAGCATTGTCAGTACATCATCTAGTTTTAGTCACCAAGAATGCCTGTCGTTTATCTGGTGTTTTAGATTGGATTGACCAGTCTCTTGCTGATGTTGAAGATCATTTAAGGGTAGGTCATTAAAGTTCTTATTGTACTTAAATTGCAAAGTCAAACAAATGTAATACCATCAAAGTCACCAACTTGTAATTCATTGTTCAAGCATCATCAACTTGTAAGTTATAGTTCCCAGGAGTTCATCTCTTGCTATTGACACTTGCTCTGGATATAACATCCTCATCAGCACAGCTGTTGATAAAAATGGGGTTAATTTTTCAAAAATATGATGCTACTATACTGTGTGAAATTTTTTTCCAACATACTCATAATAAATGTATTTCCAGGTTTTGCGTGATGCCAGTGTAACCAATGAAATGCCTGGAAATCAAACTAATGACAAGCCAGGATTAAGTCAAGATACACCAGATGTTGCTGGTGATGTGCCTGCAGAAGTAGCCAATCAAAATCATGGAAACAATAATTCATCACAAGTATGAAAAGTATCATTAGACTTCTTTGTTACATATCATGGTTTGGTTAAAATATCATTCACTCTTGTCTTTGATTGAACCATCATTAACTCTCAACTTTGTTCCATTGTTGATTAGATTTGAAAGGGAGGTAATTGTGCATGACTCATGCATAGCAAGTACTTGTGGTCGCCACACCATAGTCATCATCAGTTGCATATAGTTGTGAATGAGGATAACGGTCAACTTTCATGGCCATTTTCGTTATTCGCAACCATACGCAACTGGTAATTGCTATGTTGGGAGGGCACCTATAGTTATCTTGTTGATTCTATTGTTATATTAATTGATGTACTTTTTAACTGCCAAATGTCTCAAAATATTGGATGGATCTGCCCTCTTTTTGTTTTAAAACTAACTCCTACATTCCTGAAATCAGGTACATGAAGAAGTATAGAAAAATTCCTTGAAAGAATTTGTGCTTGTTTGCACTAATGACTGGGAAAAAATACGCACATCGAAAATCAAATTTATTAGCAAATATTGTATATTAATTCGTATTTGTTATTAAAATGGAACTGAGTATTAAGTAATAGGAGATATAAGAGCAAATTACACCTTTCAGAGTGTTATAGGACCTTTTACAGGAGAGAATATGACTCCTATACAGTTAACTGGACCAATCTTGATTTTAACAACTCAAGAATGTATGTAAAAATATAAAAGCAAAAAGAGCATGCTTATTGGTAAAGAATGTGTGAAGAAGTAAGGTGTTAAACAGTGGGCAGATCATCCCTCCTATTAAAATACTGTAAATATTGTAAATAAGAATGTAAATAATCATACACAGAGTGCCTTTATTTACATATAGAGTTGTTGCTTATTTTTTAACATTTCTTTTAATTAAATTTCATACTCTCTTCCATCTCTGTAAAAACTTGAATAATATAATATAGAGAATTTTGAGATTATTTTCATCAACTTTATTCACTTTCGACTCAAATAATGGCCTTTATAGGAAAACTAGAATCTCACGAAAAAAAAAACAAATGTATGCAAAATTAAAATTTGTTATGGAAAATACTCAAAATTAAGTTTTTGAGTGATTAAGGTGCAAATTTAATTTGGAAATTTCTTAGACAAATTGTTATTTTATGATGATTTTTTTTATATCATGAAATATTATTTAAACTTGAATAATTAAGAAAATATGGTAAAGTTTATATCAATCATCATTTAATTACACACAGATGTACAAAAAGCACACTTGATTTTTTTTGTGTGAAGTGATAGAGATTTGGTTGTCTAATGATGAGGTAATTTTGAGCTCTGTCTACTAGTAAAGTGAGTATTTAGAAATCTTTATCCTTCAAATGCCTTCTCTTCATTACAGTTTATAGCTAAAATTTAATTCTATCTTCTGTTAAAATCACATAAACCTTTATCCCTGTAACAGGCTTGTTAAGTTTATCTGTGCCTAAATATTCAGAAATATCTTAAACTTTAAAATGTTTTGAGGTTTTGTGAAACTCAATTTCAGCTAATCCTTTAGCAACATTTAGAGGTAGAGATCACATAAAATAACGGAACATAATTTTATGGTATACTACTCCTTAGTTTTATTACACACTACGTTTAAACAATCTACATTCACAAAAATATTGTTATATTTTTGTGTATATATATAACGTCTTGTACTATATTTCCTCACTTCACCTGAAGATGACAATGTAGATTGTTGAAACGTCGTGTGTAATAAAACTAAGGAGTAGTATACCATAAAATTGTGTTCCGTTATTCAATTTCAGCTATATTTTTTTCCAAGATGAATGTTCAAAACTATGTGATAATATCTGTTTAAATATTTTGTTTTACCACCAATTAGATTATTTTTTATATGATCAAAGTGCAAAAGAATCAAACACATTCCCTACTCAAGTTTTAGGTATTTTTTTCAAAGTTTTATTTGTTAATATTTTTGATATATATTTAAATTAACATTCCTTTGTCTTCCAACATCAAATACATTTCATTTTGTTATTTATTATCAGCAGATATTTTTATACAAATTTACATTAAGTACTTATATACAAGGTGAACAAATTGTACATAGAGACTTATTACGCTGGCTGTATGAGCATATGAAATGTTTTGTAAATATTTTTAGAAAAAAGTATAACCATACATCTTGTGCTACCATATCACTAGCTTTATGAGCATAGTAAATGTTGTATTAGTTCTTTCATCTTGTACTTTCATATATTAATGCAGTCTGTATTCATGAATCAAGAAATAGTATAGTACATCTTCTATCTGTGGTTTTTTTATGTTGCCGATTTTATGAACTTGTGAATCTATTGTGTTATGAATTTAGAAATAGTATATTCAAATGATTCTTTTTTTAAGGAAAAATATTAATGGCTGGAAACATATGCAGAACTTGCAAGTGATGTTTTATGAGTGGTATTTACAAATTATAAAGCATCCAGTTACAGACTTTTGTGCCAGCCTTTTGTTTATGATAAATTTTGACCTGAATAGCTATAAAATCATCATCATCATTGTTAAACTAACATCAAGTGATAAAACAGAGTTACTGCCCTTGATTGCAATGAAATGTTTTACAAATAATGTTGGTTTTATATTGAAACCACATTAAGTTCAATTCACTTGTTAAGTTAATGATATTCTTTGAATTATATATCTGTTTGTGTTAAATTTCATCACATTATTTTAAATAAAAAAGGGTAAACATGGCAAGAAAGGCCATATTATTTGTCAGATTTCTTGATAACAGATTTGTATCATTCATCAATTAGAAGTGCTTTTGTGTAACTCATTTGAATAAGAAATAAAAAAATTCTAAAAGTAAATTGTTTGTAGTTTTTATATCTAATCAATATTAATGCCACAACCATTGTGAACTGTCTAGAATGTTTGCACAGTGTAATACCCTGATGAAGATTGGCAACAAATGCGTGAGAAGTGGTAGCATACTTTGCTGTACTTAAAGATTTGAGGAAAATGTCGAACCTCCCCTTCTTGGACGCTGCAAAAAGGACTTTTATATTTCATGAATAATTCCTTTGGATTTTGATTAGCAACAGGACAGTTGATTTGGGTCGCAGTCCACATAAACAACCAAAATGCAAATATTCTTATTTCTCAATAGATCATAACCCTCTGTGACCAATAATAGAGCTGTATTTCATGATTCCATTCCCTTCTCTTAAAGTTTTCTGGTATTAGGGGATTGGAAAATATACATATCCCCTCTTTTAATGATATATTCATGGGAAATATTTTCCAGAGTTTTAGGAGTCAACATAAACGTGCGTGTTATACACTTGCGCATTACAATCGCAAATATATAAAAACTGTATCATACATATATATATATTAAATTTAAAATAGACTATAGGCAGAGTTTTTCTTTATTTTGATAATTTTATGAGACAAAGAGAATCAGTTGTAATACATTGGAAAGAATATTGAAGTAATGCACCGGTTCGAATGCCGACAGAAAAGAAATGTATACACTAATTTGAAAAAACGTTTGTGGTCCAAGTCGCAAAAAAATGCGGAGTTATGTCCCTTAAATAATAGACACGATTATCACAGTGTAAATTCTTAGTTACAGGTGAGCAAAGACAGCTGATAACTTGAAAAAAAAAAATATTTGTAAGTAGATCTAAGGTAAATAATTAAGATGAAATATTATGAAATCAAGCAAATACCTCTAAGACTGCTTCATACAAAATACCTCCATGACACCACACAGAGGCCACTATCTTGACTCTATTGCCTCTAAGTACTAGCCTACTAGACACTCAACAGCTACTGCTCCAGTCATCACACACTGACACTATTGACAGAGTTTTAGGTACAAAACTGAAGACTCCAGACTTTCAACACTAACAGTCTTGAACAGGTTGACAGAGATACCAATCGAAGATTCATGTACTGGTTAAGCCTAATGCAAGCAGCTCTAAATAGAGAGTCACATCATGTATGCATGTTAATGCGTAGTGTAGTGAATTAATGCCTATTTTTGAATTGATTAATCTATTAGTTTTCAGGTGTTTTAATTAGAAATGAAGACAAAATGCCTAGCCTCACTACTCAGCAAGCGAATGATGTCAACTGGTATAGCAGGAACTTCAAAACAAGTTCAGACTCCACTGAATTATGTTGGTGGTCAGCGTTTAACACCTAGCTGTTCAGATAGTTTTAATTTATTCTCTCCTGCAACAGGTTGGTCAAACTTCCTCTCAATTTCTTGTTAAATATCTTATGTCGTTCTACATTTGTGCCTGTCAGAAATTGTTTAAATTCTGCCCTTGCTTAATTTTTCATGAAAGTTTTCACCAGTAATGGAGCTTGGTAACTTATTACCGGTATTCAGAAATTCATATTTGTGACAAACTGAGACTACCTATCTATAAAGGCTGCTCAACGGTTGGAACTCAAACATGAAGTTAGCCTGATATCTTTTTCAATACACAAAACATGTCACTTGTAAATCAGTACCAATGAGTTCGATGCCACTACTCAGCTAGTTATAATAACAATACTTGTATATTTGTTTTGTGTCTACAGGGGAGAAGTTGAGAGATGTTCCAGCATCAAATGAGAAAGATATCCAGAATGTTGTAGATAAGGCACGAGAAGCTTTTCATTCTTGGTCTAGAGAATCCCCTTTTAACAGAGGAAAAATCTTAAAGAAAGCAGCAGATATAATTAGGGTAGGTATGCTTTAAGCTCTTAGTTTTGTCAATCGCTTGATTGCTACTTTTCACCAGATACAGAAATGACAATAGACATCAGTCTTAAAGGACTCTGACTCCCCATGTGTTTACTTTTCCATATCATTGTTTGTTTAAAGGATCTGTTTATTATATTATTTTTCTAAATTATTGTTATCACTATAGTAGGCCTATATTAAATATCTAAAAGCTCTGTTTCAGAACTCTGTAATAAATTTTATCATCAATAACATGCTATGTAAGTTACTATATATGTTAACTATTGTATATATTATATATTAAGTCACGATCTGAAGAACTAGCTAGAACAGAAGTATTAGATACAGGTAAACCAATATGGGAAGCTAGGTATGATATAGAAGGTTGTGCTGATACTATAGAATATTATGGTGGAATTATTGCCAATCATAATGGTAAGGACGTTCTACAGCAAATATTATAATTAACATTTGAGAGAGAAAGAAATTATAAGTATATTTAAAAACTTCCCAAGGATTTTTTCTGTCAGCAATCCAAGCTCTGTAACTGACAATTTACATTCACTGTAACCCAAAATGAAAATGATTCAACTTTTTAAAATCTTAATTATAGGAGATTTTATACAAGTAGAGGGAGGAAGTTTTGCTTACACAATACGAGAACCTTTAGGGGTAGTTGGTGGAATAGGAGCCTGGAATTACCCTTTCCAAATGGCATCCTGGAAGTCGGCGCCAGCGCTAGCTTGTGGTAATACTATGGTATTTAAACCATCACCTCTAACACCACTGACAGCTGTAATGTTAGGTGAAATATATCAAGAAGCTGGATTACCTGATGGTTGTTATAATGTTATACAGGTAATCAGATATATTTAATAAAATTTTGAATATGTTTATGCAGAATTTTGGTGTCTTTATTCATGTCTATAGGATGTACAAATTCCAACTTTAACAAAACCAAGCAGAAAATAGGTTATACATTTTCATTCCAAAGGACTCAAATTCACCCAATTCTCTCTTTGTCTCCTTTTCTTGCTGTCAAGAATTCCTCAGATTATGTTAGTATTTCTTCCATCTGTTTGGTAAAATATTTAAAGTTATTGTTTTCTTTTCTATTAACAATTAACATGTTATTTGTTACAGGGTGAAAGAGAAACTGGTGAAATATTATCATCTCATCCTGATATTGATAAAATAACATTTACTGGTAGTGTCCCTACTGGTAGTAATATAATGGCTGCTTGTGCTAAGGTAGGAAATTAAATTAACAAGCCTGTAGGCGAAATAAAATATAGTTCATGGACTAACACTTTTAAGTAATGTTTGGATATATTGAAGAACATCGTTGGTTATGTAAATTAACATTCTATCAGTGAACTGTTTGTTTGTTTTATGTATTTAATCAGATCCATTCATTCACAAATATCTTTGTTTACTATATATTATATATTTCAGGATATAAAACATGTAACATTAGAATTAGGAGGGAAGTCTCCTTTAATAATATTTGCTGATAGTAATCTAGATAATGCTGTTAAAGGGGCTATGTTGGCTAATTTCAGCAATCAGGGGCAGGTAAATCTTGAAAATGAACTTCATGATAAAAAAAGGATATAAAATTATAGTCTAACAACTTATTTATACTCAATCAAAACATAATCGCTTATTTTTTAACTGTAAGGTCATTTGAATTCTCCAAGTGGATGCTGAGTTGACAAATCCAATCACTGAGTGGCATCATGTGATAACTGTTGCAATTGGTTGTCATTAATATAAATGATAGTATGTAATTAAAATTGCAGGTTTGTTCGAATGGTACTCGAGTATTTGTAGAGAAATCAATAGTAAAACCATTTCTAGAGAAGCTGGTAGAAAGAACTAAAGCTATGGTTATAGGCAATCCTAATAATGAAGATACAACAGTAGGAGCTACTATAAGTCAAGAACAGGCTGAATGTGTATTGAAATATATTCAAATAGGTCAGTCAGAGGTAGGTCAAAATACAATTAAAGTATATACATAATATACAAACCAAATCTGCCAACCCCCTCTAAACAATGTTTTCTCTTAGTTGGTTGGACTGTTAGGCAAGACTGTTTTACTGAATATCAAGTTTTGTAGCTGTGCTTATTGTTGATATTTTAATAGTAATCAAAGGTAATTGATTATCACCTTACCAAACAATTTATGGATGGTGGTCATCTTTTTCATGTTCAGGGATATCTGTAAGGTGCTTTTGTAAAAAACCTGCTGATAAAACCTTGTGTAATTAAATGATGTTATATGACAATTTATTGGATCATTTGATTTTGCAGGGAGCTAAGATATACTATGGTGGAGAAAGAGTAAAGCCATCTGATTCTAGTCTACAGAATGGGTATTATCTAAAACCCTGTATATTAACAGACTGTCAGGATACCATGAGAGTTGTACAGGAAGAAATATTTGGTGCTGTCATGTCTGTTTTAACCTTTGATTGTGAAGATGAAGTTGTATCAAGGGCGAATAACTCTGAGTTTGGTTTAGCTGGTGGTGTATTTACAAAGTAAGAGTCAAACTATAACACGTAAAAGTTAAGATATTTTCAGCCATGAATAGGGTTAAACAGGGGAACAGGGTTGAGCACTAGCTGAGTCTTGCCTCTCACAAACGGTATGCCAAATATCAGCAATATACTTGAAAATGTTTCCATAAGATGACCTTAATTAATAAAATCAGTTGTTTTGATGGGGATTGTGTGTACACAATGACATATACCAACTGGTTTGTATAACAAAATGTTTGTTATATTTTTCAGAGATCTAAGTAGAGCTCATCGTGTAGTAAGAAAAATGGAAACAGGATCACTATATGTTAATAATTATAATATTTATCCTGTTGGAGTACCGTTTGGTGGATACAAGAAATCTGGACTAGGAAGAGAGAATGGGAAAGATACACTAGACTACTATTCTCAAATCAAATCTGTTTATGTTGAAATGAATGATGTAGATTGTCCATATTAAATTCTAATCCTTAAGCAACATCTAGGGTAGAGATCACATTAAATAACGAACACAAATTAACTGTTTACAACTCATTAGATTTATTGTAATGGTACTGTAGACTTATTGTACAATGAAATTTAGGAATAGTATACCATGAAATTAATTTCTGTATTTTAGTTTCATTATCTATAACAAGGGGAAAAGGTTTATTCAGATTATTGATATTCAAGGTGGTCCTCATAAAATACCTACATTCAATATTGTGCAATTGATTGATTTTCGTATAAGGATCAGTGCTTTTTATATCAATATCCATGATTATACTGACTCTTGATGTCTAATCAATTCACTTCTCACTGAATAATGTTGTTGTTTTAGGAATGATTGTTAAAAAATTGTATCAAAGAATGATTTTATGGTAGAATGGGTTGGTAGAACAATAAAAATGATTTTGTTTCATTTCATTTGATTTTGTTTCATTTAAGAATGATTGTTTTAAATTGTTTTGAAAAATGATTTTGAATTTGTGGTATAAAAAAAGATTTTTTCTCTTTTTTTGTATTACAGAATGATTTTGTCATATAAAAGAATACTTTGTTGTATTAAAGAATGACTTTGTTGTATTAAAGAATTATTTTGTTGTATTAAAGAATGACTTTGTTGTATTAAAGAATAATTTTGTTGTATTAAAGAATACTTTGATGTATTAAAGAATGATTTTGTTGTATTAAAGAATATTTTGTTGTATTAAAAGAATGATTTTGTTGTATTATAGAATTATTTTGTTGTATTAAAAGAATACTTTGTTCTATTATAGAATGATTTTGTTGTATTAAAGAATGATCTTGTATAAAAGAATACTTTGTTGCATTAAAGAATGATTTTGTTGTATTAAAGAATGATTTTGTTGTATTAAAGAATGATCTTGTTGTATTAAAGAATGGCTTTGTTATATTAGAGAATGATTTTGTTGTATTAAGGAATGATTTTGTTGTATTAAAGAATGATCTTGTTGTATAAAAGAATGATTGTTCTGATGTTGTAATGAATGATTTTATGATATTAATGTACCTGTGTTAATAATATGATTGTAAATTTCATAACAAACTGAAATAAAGTAAAATATAATAAGTTTATATTTTCTTTGTTACTTCTGTATAGAATTAAAGGAATCTCGCAAGTAGAGTAGAAACTTTATAAGAGTCCAATCAAGGGTTTTCCTCTTAATGAAGGTAGCTTGTGGTTTTTGGTCAGCTTTGTAGTATATGACATGGATGCTGTTCGCGTAATGAAGGTGGTTGCTTATCAGTCGTAAACTGTATTGAAAAGTCGTAGAAGGGACATATTGAAGGTGATTTTTTAATAAAGGTTCAGGGTTCACTGTGTAACCAGCTGATAAAGCTCCAGAAACTACTGGAGATTCTCATGGGCCCAGTACCATCTTAAATTACCAACAATTCATTCAAACTTATACAGTATATGAAAACAGAGGACATAGAATACACTAATTAAATAATCATTTAAAACTTTATTATCAGTTGCATGATGTTTGGACATTTTTTAGTATAGTTTAAGTAATTATGGATGGGATGTCAAATTCAGTTTTAAAAAAAAAACTTAAAACTAAGATGGATGACAAAGCTTTACATGTTAATTTTTGAACAGAAAATCAATTATCAAATTTCTGACTTGTTTAATGTGAATTTTAATGGAAAATGATGATGTAAATAAAAAAAAATTCTACTGACAACACACTAAAAATATAGAATTATACAAAAACATAAAAACCATACATATACCACGAAGAAAATTGAAAAACATAAGCGGTCAGTGGAAGCAGGATAAATAAAAATTATGTTAAAAAATGGTTGAAGTGAAAAAAATTTAGTGATAAAAAAATAAAGTGCCGGTAGCCCAGTACTAGAACTAAGGTTCAAGGTTCATTTGAAGGTGAGGTCTTGAATTTATTTCAAATTTTCATTTCATAAATTGACCAATTCTATTACATGTACTCAGCATTATGATATTTAAATAATAACATTGTGTAATAGATATCATTATAATAACATTCATAAATATTTTATTTCATCTAAAGGCTCAATAAATAACTAATATTAATAGAAGAGTCTTATAACTTCAGAAGTAAAACTGTCATTAGTGATGTTAAACTAATCAATTAGGATGTTCTAGAAATTCTTACATGATGGAGTACAATAAATTTCTATGGAATATTTTCTTAACTCAAATTAAAAAGTCTACTGTCAATGACACTGAACAAAGTCTATAATCCTATTTCTTAATAAGATCTTGCCTAAAAGCCCTATTTCAAGTTAAATGCAAATCTGATGTAAACTAAGATGTCTTGGTATATATGAAATTCAGAGATCATTAAAACTCAAAACAAATATGCCTGAAAATAAAAAATACTGTTTAAGTCATTTAATTTCTTACTCTAAAGTGCATGCAATAGTATAAAAGATTTCTGGCCCATGCCAGTGCTTTTCTAGACTAAAATCTTATCTCTAAGTGAATAAATATTTGAACATTAAAAGTTTTGGAAGCAGTTATAACATTATGAAGGCACAATCTTACCCAAGTTGTTTTCTAGAATATAATTATAATTCATCTTATTGCACAAAATATCTCATTTCTAATATATTGAACTGAACTTTTAAATATTAATATATGTCACAAATGAAACTGAAAATATTGGTATTATATTTGTGTACTAGTTTTGTAGGTTTAATTGATGGACACGAAAATCAATTTATGTTCATTGCTTAAATTAAAAAATAAATTGAAAAAAATAGTGAGAAAAGCTGCATAATTTCGATTCGAACTTTTATGGCATATTGATAATGAGATCACAAGCTTATTAACAGCAGATATAAAATGAAGTTTTTTTTAATTAATTGTATTTTATTTTGTTTTTGAAGCAGTCCATGCTGACTCTGTGTTAGCCCTTCTAGACAATACATGTACTGTAGTTGGAAGTTTTCAATGTTCACTTTGCCTCTAGAGAGCAAACCATTATTATCTGTTCAAGATATCTTATTGACACACTCTTTGGCATAAAAGACTGTCAAAAAATATCATCAGAGGCTAGAACAGAGTCAGCAAGGATCAGAATCAGAGCAACTAGTAAAATAAAAAAAAATAATCAAATAAATGAGTTAATATCTGATTATATTTACATAAAACATGATATTAAATATTGAAATAACTGTCAATTAAACTTGACTATAAATGTTCTGAGATTATCTATATAAAATATCCAGTCTTTCTGTAGTCACTTGTATCGTTACTTCAGTCAATTTCTTATCTTGTGTCATTGATGGGGTACCCTTAGAAAATATGCTTTGGCAATCAGAAATTTCAAAAAGTCGGGATTTCCATATATGTTTAAGTAATATAAGGTCTTTCTGAAATGTAATAATATCAGTGATTGTACAATAGTTGGTGTCCTCCATTATTTGTATATTGATCAAGTAAGCTTACCTCAATTTATCCAGAATTTTACTATTTAGATTTTTTGAAAGAAATAAAAATCATTATTTTTTGTAACAGTCATACCACTCAAATTCACTATCCAAAAAATTTCATAAAAATAACCAGTGACTAAACTGAAATATCCTGGATTATCTTATATCGATATTTAATAAAAATCTAATTAAAAACATGACAGAGATGAAAATGCTATCAGAAAAGACAATAATAATAATAATAATAATAAAGCTAGGGTCAAACTGGAAATAAAACTATTCACAATTATCTACAATGGGAGAAGGGGGGTAGGGGAGGCTATATACATTAAAATATTAACTTAACAATCTAATAAAATATACGTTTAATATGATATCTTAGTCGTCTTCTTTGGGGCTGGCTTTTTTTTTTCATAAAACCTCAACTTAGAACTGATTTTAGAATTCTCTTCATTTGATTGGTGAATAATTCAAAATTATAGTTTTGTTGACCAATCAAATAACAGTATTTCATAAAATTCAGATTTTATTTAAGTTACATTTTTATAATTGGACCCCTGATCATGTTCACTCTTTAACTACTGGTCTAATCTAATAGATATCCCGCGATATTTCCAAATAAACATTCTGAAGAAGAATACATAGTATTAGTAATGAAAATGAAATGAAAATAAAGAATGTCCACAGACTTCAAGTAGGTTTTTATTTTGTTAAAGACACACCAACTGTTAAATTTATTTCAACAGTAATTGTATCCCTTTGATTACCAATTTGAAAAGAAAGATGCCAACCTAAAGGAACAGTAGTAAAGAGTAAACTGATCATAAAGAAAACTATGGAAACTTTAAATCAACAAATCTAAAAACTACAATCAAAGATATCAGCCTAGATAAGAGAATTCAGTTCCAGCCACATCAATAATCTATGTGCTTTTGGTGAAAGATGATGCAAAAAATGATGTTGTATGACATGTACACAATTCACAATGATTGCCTTAGGAAGATGATGTACATTTTAAGGCAGACTATATCCAGTTATGCCCTTATGGATGGTCTCCAAATATATTGAGCTAAAGTTTTCAAAATCACCGAATGGACCTTTTGGACCTCTAATAATATTTTGTTCCCATATTAGGGGAATGCTACATTCACATGGACTTTAACACAAAATAAATAACTAAAAGGAAATTGTGTCAGACACATTTCAAATCATATTATGCATTTTCTTATCATTGAGCAAACAAGGACAAAGGGGGGCTAAATTTTGAGCAACTAAGTACATCATTAGGTGAATTCTGTAAAAAAAAAAAAAAAAAAAAAAAAAAGGTTCATTTAGAAAAATTGTAGAACTGGAACTGGGAAATGATGATGATGATGATTATGGATGATGATGAACATCAAAAACCAAAAGCACAAAGAGTAAGACTCCAATCAGCCTTGCTGTTTCCATGTTGGTCACTTCTTCTTTATTGTTTGTTTTTACACTATTAGCACTTTTTATCTCTATTTCTTAAGCAATGGTGAACTAAGAATTTATCAGATGAACATGGATTATTAACAGTATTAATCCAATTGAGTTTCACATTCTTTTGGTCTCCACCTTTTCAGTCAAATGAAAGGAGAACTCCATAGGTAACTTAGAGAGAAATTATGAAAATCTTGCTCACACTGGAAATCTCATTGACTTGTTTTCATCTGATAACTGTATGTAGAGTAGATATTAACACTATATAAAAGTTGATGTATCTAGATGAATGAATAGTTAAAAGTTTTCAGTACGAGATGGAGCTTGAACTAAGCTTTCTACTCGTCTTCTCTGACTACGTCTCACAGCATCAGCTCGTCTGTACGGCTCATTCTTTAAATCTGAAATATACAACAGTTGAGATGAGGTTAAGAGAATTTCCTTGGTTAATGAAAGAAAGATGTTTTCTACTATGCTGCAACTGACTGCCTTCAGTTATTCATGTCTCTTTTTTCTATTGTGCTAATTAAATGATTCATAATCCAAAGTAGACAAATGAAAGAAGAAAACTTTCAACTGTGCATGGGTCAAACTAGTGTTCTCTTCTTCATGCAAATTTCTATCATGTTTTTGGCCACTGGCCACTGGCCACTAATCTATGATTAAAAAGACAACGTTGTCTTACCTAAAAGAATGTCCTCTAAAGCACCATGGTAGACTTCATCTTTATTTAATAATTTCTTTTCTTTTATTTGTTTGTTCCTATTCTTTAATTCTGACACCATCGCCTCCTGTAAAGTTATAAAATAACAAATAATTCAACTGGACATAAATCAGTGTGTCAGATCTTAAAATCATCTTATCTTGAGTGGAAATACTGAAATAGCTAAGTATAAAAATGGATTTTTTCAGCACCTTATAGGACTACTGTAAGAACAACAACATAATGCACAAAGTGAAGAACAGCTTAAGTTCTATACTGTAACAAAGAAATTAAAATATTCTTACCTGTGATAATTTTTTATCTTTGCGTTTATTGGCCCGTTGATCAATATCGGGAATCGTAAATTCTAATTTCTTTCTTCTCTCATTATCTAAAACAGCTTGCTGTAAGATATATCAATATTGTACATTAGATTCAACATTATAGAATACCTGATGACAATTTATGACAGAATTTGTCAAGTACTAAATCATTTAATTGGTTGTTTAATTATAAAGTCATTTAAATAAAATCTTTTAATCGAGAAGAGAAAAAGAACTTATCAACTTTAATTAAACAGTTCACCTAAGGTCACTATCCAACTGAGTTTATCAACCGTCCATGATTTAATTTTGGTATTTTATTGCTAAGTGGTTTCAACAACAAACTATCCTTCTTAGAAAAAATGTAGAACAGATCACAGGCTTTAAAGATGACCTTAGTTTAAACAAAGTCTTTCAACAAGAGATATAATTGGTGGTTAATTTACCTTAAAACCATTTACAAAACGAACAAATTGAGAGAAGAAAGTAGTAGGTGACATGGTTCGAATGTTCTCTCCGTAATATTCCACTACTCTTTTATACGCATCCTGTAAAAAATTACATAGTCGTTAGAAACATGCTTGGATTGACAGACGTTATTAAACTGAGGTAAGAAAAATGTCAGCATTTTTGAAGGCAATGATATTATTTCAGAAGGTATCCTGTTATAAATTTAAAAAATATTATCATAAAACCATCTTCACCATTTACTTATGAATGGAAAAGTTTTATCAAAAAGTTGACAGAGCCTATTATTCTTAAATAATCAAATATACCTGTGCTGTCTTGACATCTGCTTGTAATTTATGGAATTTATCTTCAGAATTGGCCAGGAAGTCTTTAAGAAGAGTAGGGGCATCTTTGGAGTTGCTGCGAGATGCATATTCTTTCTTGGTTAAACTAAACCCTTTTTCTAGTTCATAAATATCAGTGGTGATGTTCTCCATAGAAACTGTTAAAATATTATATAAATATAGAAATAACAATGATAGACAAACTTCAACAGTCGATTCTCATATAATGATAGAGGATATATGACCTAGCAAAATTATAAATTACATCACTCAAATGGTCTTTAACTTTATCAGCAGAATTCTGAGGCTTAGGGAGATAAAAATGGATTCCAAAATTCATAGGACTGACAGATTATTTTTAAACATTCGATAAATACCTCTGAAAGAATTCCAAAATTTCACAGGACCAAAAAAATATATTTGGAATTTCGTCAGACATACCTAAAGCAGCTTTCTCTATAAACCTCAGTTCACTATCAAAGTTGACAACATCAGGGAATTTATCTTGTATTGTTTGAACCAGGAAATGCATCAACGTGACTTTTTTATCACCAGATTTGGTATCTATTAACTATAATAATAAATATATAACTAAATAAACAGATACGTGAATCTCGAATTAAGAAAATATACACAGTGGAAAGTGAGTACACAGTTATCTTGTATCATTGCTGATTCAAAATGACAATAACCAAAATATCCATAGTACTTTCTAAAATTACAATTAAATAGAAATGTGCCAAGCTGATTTAGATTCCACGGAACATTATCAATATGAGATAAGAAATAATTTGCTGGAGAGATATACAACATACCATATCTAAACTCTGTAGTTTAAAACCATAAGCTGCTCCACGTTTAGAACTATTCATATAATTACCAAATGCTAGAATAATCTAAAAAATACAACCTCAATTAAAAATAAATAGCAGCATGTAATTAATTTGGAAACAAGTGACTTCACAAACTATGTGAAAAATTAGAAACATGTTCTGTAGCAGTAGTGACATTTATAGCTTGACCTGCACATGTTCCATATCCACATAAATTGGAATTCCTTAATTCTGCAAAAAGAACCACAAGCAAATTCAGACCACTAGTTAGTCCAAAATGCAGTATATGGTGTACTTTATCAGTTGTTTATTTTAGTTAAGATTTTAATTAACGAAATAACGAAAAGTAATGAAATAATTTTTACTGACCTCCATCATTTTACGTAATTTCTGTGAGTTTCTTAAAGACATTGAAGCAGCAATAATAGCATTAACTTGCTGTAATAATAATAATAATGTTTACATATTATATTGCTAGATAAAATTATCAAAATAATACATGAAACATGTTGGTACTCAGAAGCTCCTGCTGAGTGATATTCAAGGTGCAGACAGACAAACAGTCTTGATTATCGTGTTCCTGACAAGATTTATATTATCAATCAAGTTTAATAATTGTCTTTGATAGTTTTATCGTCTACAAAGACAAACTGTCATCATCCAGTCAGATTCATTTTCCTTTCAATTGCATGCTCCACGTTTTTCTGTAGAAACTGGGCCAGCCCTCAAAACTGAAAGTTGAAGGATCAATATATGTAAAAAAAACAGACAACTTAAATAATTATTTCCAATGCAAAATATGATAGGTTCCTAATATATGTATATAAGAGGAGAATATGATGTGTGAAGAACATTTAAAACTTACCGGTTGAAGATGGTGCAGACTATCATAAAAATTACCAACAAAACTCATTATTGTTAACTTCTGTGACAATCTCTCAACTTTCGCCAACTGAAAATTCAATCATATTAGAATGAACAAGTTAATATTTTTTTTGCACTGTGCCCCATGGACCCTTTTCTCTGGTAACATTTCATAGTAATTAGTATTACATTTCATAACAAGCAGAAATGTGTCTTACTTATGTGTCAAAGTGGAATTTCAAATCTGTCGAAGGAAAGGTAATTATAACCCACAAACCTGTAACATGAATTTATCTTCATCTGATAAAATATCAACTGATTTCCTCTGTTTCTCGTATTCACGATACGCTTTCATCTACAAATACATAAACATATAATTCATGATCATTGTGTTCATTTAAATGATCTTATGTGATATGTTTTAAAAGTTGAAAAACACAAAGCCTTCATCTATTTGTAATCATTAATACTTTGTGTAGGTTAATTAATATATACCTATAAGCAATGTATTGTGTAAGGGATTGAAATGACAACTAACCTCTTGATCATTGGGTAAGATAGTTAATAAAATATCCACCATATCTAGTGATAAACGCTGTAGGTCTAGTCTGAAATAGAAATACACACAATAATATAATATGATAATGATTCAGCACACAAATGAACATGTGAGTTAAGTGATTTTCGTCTAAAGGATAACAAACTGAATCCTCAGTAACACAGAAACAATCAGGATAACAATATCATCAGATACCAGTATAAGAATAAGAATAAATAGTATTTACCCATGAATAGCTCTTACAACCTCGTCATTCTGCATATCCATTTTCCTCCTTGTGATAGCTGAAAAAACAATGTTCTACATGTTAAACATGATACGATAAAGAAAATAATACATTGCAAGCAATGACAAATAATTTCGCAGATTAATTGATCAAATTGCAATCAGAATGTACTTACCAATATTACGTAATCTATTTGGTTCTAATAATGATATAGTTTGTGGAACTTTGTTTTTCTTGCCTAATTTAGGTGTACCATTTTCTGATGATCTGATAGGTCCTGCTGGTCCTAGACGGAATATTTCTTCAAATTCTAAGAAATCTATCACCTTAATGAAAGAAAAATACATTCTCAACATTTCTTAAAATAAATTGTTTGAAAAATTTTGTGGCTTTGTATTGCTTTTGTCTTCAAATGACTTTAATGAAATTTAACTTGACAAAGACAGCATATTATTTATTGTCTGGAGGTTGGACAAAGATGCTTAATGTTAAATGTGGCCTGACTGTATTATTCTTTTTAACATACAAATGTTAATTTTTTTCAATAATTCCATTCAATTCCAAAAAAAAATAGTATGAAAACAATACTTGAAACTTACTGAATATAATTTTTCATCGTCTAAATCTGAGAATATAGTCCCTTTAACTTGTTGAGGTTTTAATGGTGTCCAATTTAATATTGGTAGCCTATATTTAGTCTGGATTTTACGTTTGATCGTCATTGCTGAAAAAAAAAAAAACTTTTTTTTATATACAGTGGTGTAACCTATTTTCGTGGATATAAGGATTCAACACCAAATTTCGTCAAAGATAAAAAAATGAAAAAAAAAATTTATGTCTTAATTTTAGTTAGTTTACGTTTGATCGTCATTGCTGAAAAAAAAAAAATCTTTTTATATATATATATATATATATATATATACAACAAACAAAAGTATGTATTCACATCTGATCTAAAGAGATAATTAACCAAGCAAGGCACGGTTAGATCAATTTCTACTTTTGGTTAATAAATTTAAATTTGACATGTAGACTGTGATGCAATACTGATTAAACTGAAGAAAGCTAAAAATAATTCATAGCTCAATATGACTGGCATTCTATGAACAATCCTACATCCCTTCAATAAAACATGAAATACATAGACGAACTTACCTGACATACTTGGAATGGCTGCTCCAGGGGGAGGGGGTGGTGGGGGTGCAGCTGGTCCTGATGGTGGTGGAGGGGGAGGAGGAGGTGGAGGTGCAGCAGCTATTGGAGGGGGAGGTGGTGGTAATATTCCATTTCCTGTTACAGTATCACCTGAAAATAGACAGACATGAAAGAATGAGTATTTCTCAGCTTGATATAATCAGGAACTGTGACCAAGTCCTATTTCACAATGGCTTAAATACATTAGTTTTTACAAATAGTCTGAATTTTGTTTTACAATTTTAAATAAACATCAATAGAAGGGAGTATTCCATGCTTCATAATTCATTTGGTTATAACCTTTTTAAAAAAAAAGTCCTATTTTCAAAATCATTTCACCATAACATTCAGTTTCTAACTCAGCTTTTAGATCATAATAAAGCTATATCCATATATACCACATGGATAAGTAGGTATTCCAGATTTAAGATCAATGCAATGAAATCGTGCATAATCAATGATAGTAATTCTGTTAAAAGATAAAACTTACCTGGTATAACACCTTGCTTAATTTGTTCCAACTCCACCATTTTGGAGTCCAATAAACTTTGACGTTTCAAATTTTCTTCATCTTTTTCATTTAAAGTTTTCCGTAAGGTATTGACTTCAGTTTCTTGTTGAGCATTAACTTGCTGAAATAGATATGGAATAAAAAGTGTCAACTAGATTTATGTTTATAACATAAGAAGACAATCTCCTGTTCATTGGCTTCACACACCTTGCTAAGATGTTTCGAGTCCAAATATTTCTCATGATGGATCAGATCTTATGACTTTTTAGCCCAGTGTGACTTTCTATTGTTGGTAGGGTATTTCATTTAAGGGATAGACTGTTCTCTAATGAACCAACCAGTACTTCTTATACAGTATGTTCATGTGTATAATGCTCAGTTCCCTAAAAGAGCTTGCTAAACTGGGGGTGTGCATAATAGACAGTGACAAAAAGTCCTAAGTCCTAATAATTCATTTTCAAACTTACTTGTAAAATTTCTAATTCTCTATTAGCCTCTGATAGTTGTTTTTCTAACTCCACTGTTTTAGTCATAGCTTCTTCCTCTACTTCTTGCAATTTTTCACTGATCTATTAAATAGAATAGGACAATAACAATATACAGTTATATAATTATGAACAGTGTTTCAGAAATTTCACTAACCTTGAAGGAAATAGTGAGATTGTGATACTCAACTCAATTTTCACTAGTTGACCAAGCAATCAACTTTTCAATACATTTTTGGTTTTCAAATTATGTGTTACAATTTTTTATTAGCAGACCGAATGCCTAAGGTATTTATCCCACATCAATGTGATTTTCATAATCATAATGTACTTTATATTCTCTTTACACAATAATTGGTATATTTATTATTTCTATAACTACATCAAAACCATATCAACATCTGCTGGAAGCGAATGCTAATTTCTCATGAACTGATCTACCCACCTTAAAAATATGTCTTTCAACAAGATCAGAATAGATTTTTGTTCTATTTATATCTATCTTGAAAATCCCTAACATAACTATTCCTTTAGTGAACCTCCAAAGCATATTTTAAACTTAAAGCTAAAAATTCAAAAAGAATGACTTACATGAGATATTTCATCTTCTAACTCAGCCACTTTTTCTAAAGCTTCTGTTTTGGTTTCTGAATCTTCTAATAAATTAGCTACATCTATCATGTTATCTAAATATGCGTGGACTTGAACAGCCAGACGGTCAGATTCTGTATTACGTAATTTCTACAAACATAAAACATTCTATGAAAAATAATTCTAAAAAATTCTGCACACAATGTCAGTGAATCAAACAGGATATAAATCATATCTAATAGAACTACTGCTGAATTGCCAATCATATTCTTTTGGAAAACAACATTTCTCTGGTATTTATTGTGACATATCTTTGATTTATTTATAAGATGGAATCACTGCTATTGACTCTGCTAGCCAGTCATGTTATAGGAGAGCTGTGAAATATGTGCTGATAACTTGGTCTTCAGGATATTGTGTTCAAAATTACTCAGTTTATTGTTCTCAAAATTATAATGTCCTAGCTGTGAAAAGCAACAATACTGAAAAAAATTGATATTTCTAAAATGCATCATAGATTTTGCAAGAAGAAAACTTACTTCTAAATAGTCATCTAAGCCAATCTGTGTGAACTCATATTGTAAATGAACACGGAAATTCATATTTTCAACAGAATGTACCACAATATTAATAAACTGCATACAAGCCACCATAAAATCTATATGAAACTCTTCATAATTTTTAAAATATTCCATCAGAGTTTCAAACCTGTGGGGCTCACCACACACCTGCAACAAGAAGGTATATTATCAATAGTAATGACATTGTGATGAAATCAAAATTTCTGTGGCATAAGGCTTATTTTAAGAATTCCACAATATCATAGGGGTTATATTTTTGGGTTATAGATATTTAATTGTGGTTACTAGGACTAGCCTGTTTTAATCTACAATAAATGCGTAATATTTTAATGTCTTAAGAAATCGTATCGTGCTTCTATTAATTTGAACATTAACAAACAAAAATAACAGAACTTTCAAAGAAGTTATATACAAACTGCTCATACCTCTTTAAAGTTATCAAAAGCCGAGAGAATAATTTCATGTCCCCCACTCACTAGACATACAGCTGCTAACAACTCTAATACCAACGCCTTAGTTCTGAAAACATATCCAAAGAATTTCTTTTTGGTATTTCAATATACTGAATAATTGAAATAAAAAGGTTTATACTGGTCCATGCAAATATTATCTTCTGTTTTGGACTATTACATCGCACAATAAGTTAAGTTTGAGTCTTTTGACAACAGCAGCAGAACTGATTGCCACACATCAATCAATTCCTTTGAAAAAACAAAAGGGGTAAAAGGGATCTCTTGCAGGTATAGGAGTAAAAACCCAAAATCATTTCATTCCTAATACAATAATTCTGGTCGCCAAATAAAAAATGACTTACCTTAAACTACGATGATTCAAACTAAGAGCAATACAGTTGATGGCATGTTTATGGGCAATCACAAGATTAAAACCATACTGAAATATTCAGAATAAAAAACTATAATTTAATATTCATGAGGCTATGATTCTATGTTATACTATATAAAGGGTTGAGCACACAGTAAAAGAGGAACATCAGAACCATCAGAATAACAGGTATAAGAATTAAAACTAATAAGAAATATTCATCTACGGTAATAATCCTGTCAAAATAAAAATAATTTGAATTGAAGACAACAAAATGAAGCCATGGGAGAATATATCTGCCAATAAACTACATTATTGGCCTATAACAAAACATATTCTTCAAACAATCTTAGCGCTAGGATGTCCTAGGATGTTAACTGTTAACACTGTTTCTAGGGCATCTTAGGGCGAAGATCGTTTCCAGAATACACAGCAAAGATTAAGTACCTACCAGCTGCAATATAGCAATAACATTGAAATACGCCTTATGTCCAATTACCCACATGTAATACTGAAGAAAAACGACTAACATGACTGCATATCATGATTGACATTTTAGGACCATCATAAAGCAAAAGGTCTATTTTAAATTAATTAGCCTGCCTTAATGTTATATGGCTCTAAAGGTTATGTTTTACCCAGTATCTTACCTGATGGTTCATAATAGCCCGTAAACACATTATGCAGACATGGACATCATCTCGAGCTTCCCCCATATTTAATTTACTGGAGTATTTTATACCACGTGCCGAGCCCAGGGTGTTGGAGCGTTTTAATCGAGATATTGGACTCTTAGGACTTAACGTTAAACCTGAATCCAGGCTAGCACTTTTATCTTTATTCAATAACTGTTCTTTCCTACAATGAGACAATTTAAGAAAAATAAAATAAGTAATGTTGATGAGGTCAAAAAGAAGGAAAATAATGGTAAAAAAAAGATACTACAGTAAAATTTTTAGCCATGTGGTTATTTGCTTATGTTTGACTTATCTTTTTATGTTATAATTTGTAAATGGAATTTATGAATGACTTATCATTTATCATCCTTTATCATTATAGATATAACAAAATCATGGCTTCAAGGGAGAGAAATCATGCAGGCTTAAATCTAAATTATCTTGTTTCTATCTACAGTTTTATTACCATCAAACTATTTGACAATTTGTCAAAATCTTGCACTTGATGTGGAGGCTAAACGCCAAATATAACAATAAGTTTGTTGTGTAATGTACAGAAGTTTTATATAGGCTCATAACAAAGAGGAAATGCTGTGTTGAAAAGTCAAATATGTTAAACTCCGGCCCAATACAATCAATATAAAAAAACACTTCCTTCTTTACATTGTCTAAAAATAAATACGTTTTTACAGCTTTTCATTCAGCTTTCCTCATGTTTTCATATAAAACATGATCCGATTTCAAACACCCAATCAAATTTAAATATGAGAGCCAAGATCAATGACCTGCACTGACTGATTTTTTTTAGCTTTTTATGTGAAAAGAAACTCATATCCCAATAATGCTACTTGCATGAAACTAAAAGTACAGTACAAAATCAAAAAAAGGCATAGAATATTAGAAGTTTCCAGCAAAATACCTCATGACAACTTGTGTAAATGATAAATAATCCACTAAAACATCTAAACCTTGATTTTCTTCGTTTAAAAATTCTCGTACCCATCTGAAATACAATGAATATTATGTTAATTTTAAGGGCCCCTGTTTATTTTCCTTATACTGATCAAGTCTATGCAATGAGAAAGGTAAAGGACTGTATCAAAAACTCATTTTCCTTATACGTTTTCAATATGTCTCTCATAGGTTTATATTGCTTGTATGGTTTTAATGGCATTATTTTTAATGAGAAGATATATTGAGGCAAGGATTATGTAAGGATGTTAAATATTCTCCATACCAAGACATCCTCATCTTGATGTTGGTCCACAGGAACATAATGATAGATATTAAAAAAACTCACTCTATATGATTGGTACGTAATGAAATTTCTAAATCTCGTAAAACTTGAGTTGAAGTGGAATCTCCAAGTATCTTCCTTTTCTACAAAATAAGAACAAAACACAATTAATTCACATTTTTCCATTCAATAGAACCCTTTAAAACAGACACTGAATACATTAAAATCTTAATTAATAGTTTCAAAGTGCTAAAGACAAGACAGTGCTGTGAATGGATACCTGTATTATATGTATCAACGAAGACATTATGTTGTATCTAAATTTTTAACAATTTTACATGAGAATAAACAACCATGAATGGTTTATAAATGAAAGCGAAAATGAACATGAAGTTTATAAATTAAAATGTTGGAAATAATGTAAACTTGAAATATGTTAATAAACTAAACAAAAAATATCACAAACATTCTGTTAATGAAAAAAGCATTACATTTCATTTTTAATTCATTTTCCATTCTATTAAAAACTAAAAATTCATTCTATCATAACTTAAAATATTACAAATCGGACATAGCACAAGATTCATTGAAAATAAACAACAATTACTGCTTTAGACCTCCTCAAGTGAAATTCCTCGTATCAATGATTTATTTGCTGTTATCAATATATTGCCAAACCATCATGTTTGATTTCAGGTTTCATTTTGCGAGTCGTATTGTCAGTACTTAGCATTTTTTGTTATTATCAAATTTGAAATAAATTTGTCATCAATATGTGACAAGACACATATTATAATCAGTATACTTTAACATAAATAGGATATATTATAATAATTGGTATTTGATTTCAGCATTACTATGGCTGACTTTGCACCCGGGCTTGACAAAGAACATAATGGGACTTGTTTTATAAAATCGCGAACACATCAAAAAACGAGTTCATGATAGTGTTCATATATTAACACTAAAAGACATAAGTATAAATCTATGTAATTGTTGCTATCGTATGTGATAAGAAATGTTTACATCTCTGAAACACCTGATGTCACTTTGTAATCATGTTCAACAACAAAATTTTATATTTCTACTACATGCAAGAGTGATCAAATACTCAAATTTTGATATATTTTAAAAAGAAACAACAAAATAATGGTACAAGGATGCAAAATGTCTAGTACTACCTAATGACTATCCATAAACATGCTTCAAATGTCCATACAACATTCTCAGTTTTTATATAAGCTTAGATAACAGGTCTATTTGTCTGGATCTATACAACAATCAATTTCTGTTGATGTATTTATACATTGTTACACTATCTGTCATCAGTAATTCTTAGATTATATTTTAGAAATCTTATTTACTTTCCACATAATAATATCAGGACATTTCTTCCTGAATCTGATATTTAAAACCATTATAGGACCATTGGCAATTATTCATACAACATTCTCTGATAGATATATAGATAACTTGTTCATATTTCTCAAAATATTAAATATAAAATTACTTTATGTTGTATTTTCTCCAGAAATTTATAACAATAAAGATGTCCAGAAGACCTTTAACAAATGACATAAAATTGAATTTTATGTTCTTCTTTTCTGACAAATAAACAAAACCATGATATTGTCTTTAATGGGTTTTTCTCAAATACTTTGGAAATCCTAAAATCATGTTCTCTATCCAAATTCCTTCCTTGCTTTTTTTACTGTATGGTTTATTTAGCATTGTACTTATTGCCTTGTTACAATACACCTTTAGTTAAAATGGTGACATTCAATCAATGCCCAAGGGCTCTTATGACAAGAAGTTTTGATATCAAATTAAAAGAGTAAGAAAGCTAAAAATAAATAATATGTTATGCTATTCTCAGGTTTCCTGATTTATGAGTTACAAATGGAAGTCAACTGTTCCTAGTCACAATGACCTACGGTGACCTGACATGATCAACCACTGGTAAATAATGCCATGTTAATGCACCAAATAACACAAGATATATTCCAATCAGCGTTTGCCTGCATGTAAGAACCTAATTTTTATTTTACTAACCTCAGGAATGGAGTCAAGGCAGTTTGTTTAATATTATAATTTCTTACACTAATCCACACAGGCTTTTGTCAACTTAACTTATTTGGCCTGAAGGACATTTTCAATCCAAAAAGCTTTAAAATAGCAGTTTATACTAAGGACTTGAAAACATGCAATGTAGACAGATTTGTAGTGGTAATGTTGTGAGAGCTTAGCATCAGCCATAATGTAAAACTTTCTGTTTTAGAGTGATTAGAACTAGACCGGTTATCAGTCAGTCCGTGAGGATGAAACTGGCTACCAGCTGAGCTATCCAACTGCCCCAGGGTAGGGTAAAGGACAAGCTAGTTAACAAGTTATAAAAGTAGTAAACAGTTTAGGGTGGTATATATTATAGTTTAATGACTAATTGTCTATAAAACTTCCTGTTGGACAGCTGTCTTATACTAGTTACTATATTACTACTGACATTTCAACAAGTTCACATCATATTACACTTTAACCCTTCTATACTATCTTACCATCTAATATCCAATATATATATACATTAATCTACCCCCTTATAGTGAGATGTGCTTTACATCATATCAACAATACCAAATTTTGATAGACCCATATACCACTCTCTAAAAATCCAATACGCAATCTAGATAAACCAATATCCTGCTCCCTTAGAGAGATGTACCATGATCTAGACATCTATATGCTTCTCCCTCAAATACCAATACCCAATCTAGAAAGACTTATATCCTACCCCTTAAAACCAATACCCAATCTAGAAAGACCTGTATCCTACCCTCTACAACCAATACCCAATCTAGAAAGACCTATATCCTACCCTCTAAAACCAATACCCAATCTAGAAAGACCTATATCCTACCCCCTAAAACCAATACCCAATCTTGGAAAACCTATATCCTACCCACTTAAGCCAATACCCAATCTAGAAAGACTTATATACTACCCTCTAATACCAATACCCAATCTAGAAAGACCTATATCCTACCCTGTAATACCAATACCCAATCTAGAAAGACCTATATCCTACCCTCTAAAACCAATACCCAATCTAGAAAGACCTATATCCCACCCCCTAAAACCAATACCCAATCTTGGAAAAACTATATCCTATCCACTAAAACCAATACCCAATCTAGAAAGACTTATATCCTACCCACCAAAACCAATACCCAATCTAGAAAGACCTATATACTACCCTCTAATACCAATACCCAATCTAGAAAGACCTATATCCTACCCTCTAAAACCAATACCCAATCTAGAAAGACCTATATCCTACCCACGAAAACCAATACCCAATTTAGAAAGACCTATATCCTACTCTCTAAAACCAATACCCAATCCAGAAAGACCTATATCCTACCCCCTAAAACCAATACCCAATCTAGAAAGACCTATATCTACCCACTAAAACCAATACCCAATCTAGAAAGACCTATATCCTACCCACTAAAACCAATACCCAATCTAGAAAGACCTATATCCTACCTTCTAAAACCAACACCCAATCTAGAAAGACCTATATCCTACCCACTAAAACCAATACCTAATCTAGAAATACCTATATCTACCCTCTAAAACCAATACCCAATCTAGAAAGACCTATATCCTACCCCCTAAAACCAATACCCAATTTAGAAAGACCTATATCCTACCCTCTAAAACCAATACCCAATCTAGAAAGACCTATATCCTACCCCCTAAAACCAATACCCAATTTAGAAAGACCTATATCCTACCCTCTAAAACCAATACCCAATCTAGAAAGTCCTATATCCTACCCACGAAAACCGATACCCAATCTAGAAAGACCTATATCCTACTCTATCCTATTTTTCCCGCTTGGATAGGTGTGCTAGGGTCTTACAGTATAAATCATTCGGTATCAACTCTTTATATGGACCAAAACCTAAAAATGATAATGACAACTCAAAGATATTTATCATTAAGCCAAGTCTTAGCAGTATTAGCCAAAGTGATTAGCTCTTAGCTTCAGTATGATGAGTCATTTAGAGGATAAAGCCAATGTATCAAAGCCAATGTCGGTTATGTCAGTTAGTTTTAAGTTTTACATTCTCTGAGCTAAATGTAATTTTAAAGAAATAAATGTGTTTACATTAAAACTAACTTAGACAAGCAATAAATCTTACTCAATTGGACTTAAATTTGACAAAACAGCACAAAAACTATGACTTACAGAATTCAAATTAACAAATTAGATAAAAAAAAAAGAAAGGTTTTTAACAAACAGGAGATCAAAGAAACTGTTAATTGAAATCAAACAAATCTATGTAGAATCTTTTAAAGACAAATATTCTAAAAAAGTTCGTTAATTTGCTTTCATTGCATTTTTTTAAAAATAATGAGCAATTTAAAGATGTGATTCCTTTCAAGTCAGTGTTCTTGAAAAAAAAATAGCTTAAAAGTGTTTCGGCTTTTTTTGCACATTATATTAGATTGATCATGTTTCAATGATTCTGGATTTGTAAATCATTAAAATAATGTGTCCTCTTCATTAAAGGCATATACCCAGGTTGAAGAAACACAGTATATTGATTGGATAATAGAACTAAATTAAAAATCTATTTCAGTACGGTAATTGACCAATTAAATGACTAAAACACTACAATTTATTTGCATAAAAATTATACAATCTAAGAAACACCCAAATTTTGCAATTTCCCTTGTCTACAAGGATTTTGTTTTACTAGAAGATTATCAGACGATACACTAATAATAAATAATAGAATTTGTCTAGCAATTCCCTTTAAAACTGGCTTCTACACAGTTTACTAGTGCAGTTAAGAAAATAATTAGTGAACTGAAGTCATTGCAAGCTGGTAAAATAAACTTGTAACTATATTTATAATATTCTAGCTTTCAGCAGATGTTAGACAAAACCTTTATTATATTACAAATACGCCTGATTCATAACTTGTGTAGTAGATTGTATTTATGACCTTGACCCTTATAATTCCATCAATGAAAGTTCAAGGACAGTTTCACATCTGCCGACTACAAAGCACAAATGTATTGATAGTCTTCAAATACTGTGTTTTGATTATAAACTAGTATTATGATTTCTATAAATATTTAAACAGCATCTAAAAAGCATCATAATTTTGCTGCATACCTTTTTCAAAGACTAAACTGGATATTTGGTTGATTTATCCCATGCTTGATGTCTCAAAAACTGTCAGTTGTTTTACAACTTTAACCCAACAAAGCAAGCAAATTTTACTCTTTCTCAAATTTACTTATCTCTTGTGGTTTAAGTCAAGCAAAAGCAAGGCATTTGACATTTTCTTTTCGCTGAGATACTTTTTTTTTTTTGGAAGACAAGCAAGACAACATAAAATATAAACGATAACAAAATGAATATAAATTATAGAAATAAAATGTAGAATTTTACGCAATACGAATGTTTTTACTTACTAACACCGTTGGCACGATCACAGGTATATTTACATACAGCTAATAACAAAATGAAATGAAATCAAATGCAATGTGAATTTAACACCTTTTTATTTTGTACATTACTAAACAAATGAAATGAAATGAAGTTTTATATCCTAGTGTACAGTACATTATTGGGCTTATGAGATGTATTGGGGGTTTCAAATCATAACACATCAAATGAGATACACAAGACTCAGCATGTGCTGAAGGTGGAGTTACATGAGTCAATCAACATAGTTAACTGCTCCCATCTCTGTGCATGATGCTTCAAAATTAAAGTTTAGTAGCAGTAACCTTTCATGTTATTCTAGCACACGTAAAGCTTAAAGACAATTCACAGTAATTACATATAAATTGCATCAATAGTCACATTTTCAAATTAGATTAATGTTGTTCTTTATAAGAATTTCAAGACGGACAGACAGACAAGGGCAAGGACAGCACTATTAAGTACTATCATTTATATTTTAATTGTCAGTTGAACAAAAATCACTCAGTAAAAACTAACTATCAAAATTGAAACAAAATCATCTGCAAATCAAAAATATCATTCTGACTGAAAAGCTAAAATCAACTTGTTTCAGAGAGGGGATGAAAGCTCAATTAAACATTCGCTTCAAATCAGTTTTAGAAAGATGGAAGAAGTTCTGTAATTCTGAGACATGCTGATTTGGCATGCTTCACAATTATTTTATTTCTTGAATTTTGCAATCTTTGATTGGATATAGTTCTCTTAACATTTGCTTAAGCAGATGACAGAGCTTAACTTCAGGTACCAACACTTTTCACAAGTAAAATCCAATTCAAATTCAATTATATACTTGGAAGTTCTCACAGCTCATCATTGAAGTGTTCAAACATCCATAAACTTTGTTTAATTTAGGACAGCCTTTAGCTTTTATTCATTATAAATGTCACAGAAGCTGAAATTGAGCTCTATCACGTGAATTAGGAAATATTAAGATGACTATATATATACACATATAATATGAACATTTTTCCAAATATAGCCAAAATAATTGTGATAATATCTAACTTAGTTTAGAAATGAGCATGACCAAAAGCAAAGAAAATGGCAGGCCAAATATAGTTGTGGAGAGGGTATCAACATACACTTCCGTTGGTGCATTGGGCAAATGGAACCACAGTTTGAATGGTGAGGCACATTCTTTGCTGAAATAGGATATAAATAACAGTTTTCAATCTTATCATAATTCTTGGGACATATCAGTTTTTTTCCCTTATATCAAATACTGTCCATTTCAGTTTCTTCTGATTTAGATAATAGTGTTTTGAAGAATTTCATATGTTGCCAAACGGAGTCTAATGTCAATGCCATTTTTAAGCTTTTACTAATGTGAAGTTCTTTATCAACCCAATGTAGGTCAAGTGGCCATGGCGTAACCATCAATTTACTCCTTAGGTCTTTTCTTACAGAATCATCAGAATATCTCATGCCAACTCATGGACCTTGTTTTCTGTTTTGGGATTTTCAAGAGTTTTTGTTGTTTCCTGTTTTTTGGGCCACAAAGTAAGTCATTTTAACAGCTAAACAAGAACAGGTAAGTTTGTAGAACACAATGACAGAGAAGGATTGTTGAGTACAGTAACATACACCAACAGGCTAGAGATGTGTATTAGTTGACCACATTAACTCTGTCTGGATATCTGAACAGATATCACTTAATAAAATATTTACATTAATCATTGTGTATTGAAATATACGTTAATCTGATAAAAATGAAGGTCTGCATGATCTGTTTTTCTGCAGGTTACAACACTTGTCATTCATAGACTTCAAGTGGAAACATTTTCAGAAAAACAACTGAAAACTTTTAGGTTTTCATCTTTATCTGATTGGAAATATCTACTATTAATTACAGAAATCTACTGAATCAACTATATTTTTCTCAATGTATCATTTAAATCTACAGATGTCATCCCCTCCTTTCTCAGCCTAGAATAAGAGTCGAGATACTTCAAAATTTAAAAAAATATGAATCAACACTTACCCGCGAACTTCGTGTTGACTTGGGATCTAGGTAAGTCCTTAATTTATCTAAATAAACATGGGGAGGATCTTTAGCATGCACACGGTCCTGAAAAAGATTTAATAACATTAATCAAAATCTAAACAGTAGCCTCTAATAACTTCACAAGCAATTATTCGAGGACAAAATCAACTCATGACTCTGAGTTCCACTGGTTTAGCTAGAGAGGCTAAACTATTATTGTAAATAGATATTATTCTGTGAATGGGCTTGTTTTGTTTTTTTTGGTACCAATATATTTTGGGACTTTAACTAAAGTGTAAAATCATTTGTTGACATTTAACCATCCACTGCATCTAACGTGAAATTAGTTGTGGCTTTATCTCTAGTGCATATTATGTGGGTGTATGAAAATATATTCCTCTTGTTACATACTACATAGATTGCACATATTCATAATCACTTAATTAATCACCAGCTGACCAAAAAGATTCTAAATCATTAAATCTGATTGTTTTATTCAAATGAAATGAAGTTTACAATAACACTGCTAGTTATAGATATTATAATAATATATTCTAGTAGCTGAACATATGTCAACATCTACTTTCTAGTTTAGTTTCAGTTATAATGAACAAACCAGCTGATATCAATGTTTAAAAGTTTTTACGGGCGGGCGGGTGTATAGACCAAGGTATATAATATAATGTAATATGAGCTAGTAAAGAAACTCTTGTGTTATTTGTTTTGGTTTAAATTTCTATTTCTCTTGCTCTCCCTCTCTACTGTTCTACTATTTCTTAATTCTTAATCTAATGATACAGACAGTGCTTGTCGAGGCAACAATTTCCTTAAATCAAAATGTAAAATATCTTAGGAAACAACAAAATTTTAACAATTTCCGGTAGTCAAAATATATAATGCAGAAAAACAAAAACTTTTAGATAAGAAAATATCAAATGACATTAGTGTAGACTTTTAAAAAAAAAAAGTTTATGGCATTCTAAAAAAATCTGACAAAGAATTATCAAATTCCAAACATTGGCATTGACCAAATTTCAAGGACAATCAGATCAAAATTCTAAAGGACTGCATCCCTTTCAAAATGATTAGATTTCATTCTGACACAGTAGGAACTGAAGTTACAGGGTTATTGAGTAAAGATATTGAATTGTACACAAATAACAACCTTCTTAAAAAATATTTTGTTTAAAACATGAGCCAGAAAACAATAAAAACTTCTCCTTTTAAGACTTTCAAATATTGAAATAGATTAAGAGAGCAGTTTTAGCCAGATTTGTTTACATTTCTCAAATATTTTTTGTGTGGGTGTATGAAATGGACTAGTTTAATATTAAATTAGGGAAGTTAACATTTACCGGGCCATCAACAGTGAAATCAATGCACACATTATAAATACTGATGTTCACAAAGTTGGCACATATCTAACATTTATCTCTCTATTCTTGTATTAGGTGTTTAAAAGAGAAGCACTGGCCTAGGTCATAAGTAGAGACTGTAGATTTCAGCATTAAAATATATCAATCTGCTTAGAAATTACTTACTTCTGAAGATTTTTCTAAGGTAAACAAATAATTTTAAAAATGCAAAGCGATTGTTTCAGAGAGTTATTGAATCTACCATGGACTAGAATATTACTAAACGTTTAGTATTGATGTTAGGGAATGCATCTTCAAGTTCTTTATAAAAACATTTGACAATCGAAGAGGTATTTTTAGCTGTAAAATTGTAGATGACAACAAAAGGTATAATTTGATTGTCATGCTGAATATTTAGATCTTATAAAGAATGTGTTTGTTAATTTTATTAGAGATGCACATAGCTTCAGGTCAAATTAATCATTTCATTTTTTTTTTTATCAAATTTGAATAATTTGTGAATCAATCATATTTGTCTCGTTAAATTTGTACTGGAGTTACAAATTATAATATTTCATGGATTTATTGTACACTTAAAACAACCTTTTTCCATGTCACTGACATTGTTATTTATTAGAATTGCTGTAAGCAAAATAAAAGCTTCTTTCAGATCTTTCTCAATCTTCTGTACAAATATATAATTTTTAAACCTGGAAATTGGAACATACCTGATCACAAATGAGATCCCATTTCTTCTCATCATCATATCCTTTTAATACCTTCGCCTTGTCTGGTGGTAGGTCCATAGACGCCTGAAAAAAATGAGTTATTAAGTATCAGAATAGCTTTATCATTAAGGACAAATATTTCTAAAATTTTTATGTGTATAAGGGACACTTATAGCATCAATTTGCATCATTTCAATTTTCAGTCAGACATCTGTGGTCCCTACGATTCCACTAAATCTAAGTGTTTGATGACGTCACTAGTTGCAAAATATGCTTTATAACATACAACCCTTCGCAATTAGTGACATCATCAAACATTTAGTTTTATTGAAATTGCAGGAACCACAGAAATCATATCTAATATTGTAATGCTGCATATAATCTATGATCTTAATCAAATGTACAGTACAAGTAGTGTTGGACTTATAGATTAATATTCAGACATGACTGGTAAATATAGTTTAATCAACATCCCTTCTACCAATTTAAATGATATTATCTGTGATCTAGTTAATTGAGGGTACAGTACCAGTACAGTTAGACTTAAAGTACCGATAACCACTCTAGTTAGGTGATGTTATCTTTTAAGACTCTTTTTATCTCTCCTTAGTCCATTCCAGTACTCAATTCAAAAACACCATAGTTCTAATTCATTACTGGTACTAACTTTAAAACTAGACTTTTAGTTATAAAGATATAACATCAAATAGATGAAAAAGCTGGCCTTACTTGCTTAATGAAAGAAGTTTTCTTATAAAATTTTTTAAGGCAATGCTTTTCGAAGCTGGATTTCATGTGGCTAGATATTATGTGGGTACACATAAAATCTTAAAATTTGTCACACATTTTTTTAATTTAACATAAGCTTATAATATATGATCTAAGCTTATAAATCAACAATATTTCATCTTTAAATTGACAATTGGTAATAAAGAGAACAAAACAATAACATACAAGAGTAACAAGACACAATATATGTTTTTAATTTGTTTTCATTATGATATACCACTAGGTCAGACCTCATACTATGATTAAAAGGAAGTAAATGAGCAAGCCATCAATTTATTTGTGTGATAATTAACTTGATGAAACAAAAATATATAATTAGTTTCACACTGATGCTACTGACTCTGTTACTTTTGTTGGTTGAACAAAATTTTAACAATTATTTTGATGCAAATTCATACTTCAGCTTCAAGATAGTACTGGAACACTGCCTTTACAGAAATATAGACATGAACAATTATTCTGGAGTTTTAACAGTTGCCACTGACATCTAGATCAACCTAGTGTTACACCAATGTCATTGTGTATATTACTGATACCACTACAATAATCATTGTTTAACATAGATAACAGGAACACAGGGCATGCTTAGCTTTCCAGATCAAATTTACCATTATTAAGACATGAGACTATTCCAGAAAGTTTTTGACTGTTGGCTTCACATGATCTCATTTTATGCTGATGAGACATTTCAGCTGTAATCCCTCAATATAATAAAGAGAGCAGATTTTTAAAATAGGGGTTAACTTTCCAACATAACTTCAAGTCTAAGGGGCCGGAAAAGCCATGAATACAGGTACTTGTTGACTTAAACACTCAGTCATTTAGAAAGTAATGATATGTATGATACGTTAGTCTCATTGAATGTGAAAAGGAAATAGATGATCAAGTGAAGGTGTTATATTTGACCCATTTCAGTAACCTACTAGCTAGTGAATGGTGACTACTTCCAATATAACTACTACCCAGTATTTACATTAATATAGTCACAGTCAACTCTCACTGTCAACTTTACTGTAAGTGTCAAGTAAATTAATGACTTGAGGTGTAAATAGGACGACTGCCTCATGGTTCAACATACTTTAATCACACAGCAAAACAATTTATGTAGGAGGACATTTATGAGTACTGGTATAAACAAATGAAATTAATGGAGTTTTCAGCCTACTTTTCTGCACCATGTTGTCTAGTGAAGAGGGGCAATGCCATGCAGGGTGCATTGAGGGAAATTTAGCCGGGACAGTGGCATTAGCCTGGTCTATTTCAATTTCCAACCGTCGAGGGATCTTTAGCATGCACAGCCTGTAGTGCAGGGCCTCGGTTTATTGTCCTATCCGAAGGACTGGACGCTTTTTCCATGTCAGCCCCTCGTACCGGTATATAATATTATAAGTGAAAACTCTATATATAAAGTCATTTGAAAAATAACATAATTAACAGCAAAACAATTGATACATAGGGGACATTTATGAGTATAGAGATCTACCAATGTTCCTGTTAAGCCCAAATCTACATAAAGTCTTCTAAAAATTCTGAAATATCAGTCATAATCTGTCAATTGCTGTAGACCTCTAATCAGAAATGATTTGATGAACACAGCTTTGCAACATAGGCTGTTAAACTGTTTATCTGTCTGTGGTAAGCTTGATTACTTCTTAGGCAAACTGACTTCAACTTTAGGATGCACATGAAATCAAAATCTAACGTCACTTTTTCTTCTTCATACGGTACTTATTTAAATCTTATGTAGCAAGACACTTGTTGCTTTTAACACAACCTCATCTGATCAAATTATTTATGAGTTGTCCTGTAAGCTTATATTCTTCCAACCAAATGGAATCATTTTGCACCATAACTTTTTCGATTGATCTGTATTTATTTGAAAATTTCACCACTGAACACTGTCAGGTGAAAAAAACAGTTTGATGATGAAGTGTTTTTTATGAATTTGAAATGTAAGTAAAAGACACCAAATTGTTTTTTGATGATTCATGTGAAATCTGACCATAGTTTTTCTATTTGTGAATAACAATAATAAGGTCAACAAATATTGATTTTGCAGCAATAATTATACAGAGGACTGTACCTTTCATTGATGATTAATAATTAGTAATAAATAGGTGTTACAAAATAGGTCTAACCCATTTCTATTAATTAGGCTATCTCACTCTGAATTCAAATAGTATAGTAAACAAAGATCTCAATACCAAACTTGTAAAGTTCGCATTAGTTGACTGTCATCATTCAATTATCAACTATCATTCTGGAAGCTTATGACAGGTTTGGCTTAAACTGTTAAATTTGGTTATGTATAGAATATCCAGACGTAATAATATTTGTGCTATTTAGTGGGCAAGTATACAACCTATTAGCACCCAAAATCTAAGTAAACAACCTCACAATCAACAAAACAAGGCCTTGTTTAGTTGAGTTGTTTGTAGGGTGGCCTACAATCACTACCACTTTCAGAAATACATGTCAGTCTAGGAGACAGTTACTGCTCCCGTATTATCATAAGCCTCATTGTACAACCCCAACCAAGATATAAGAAGTAGATCAAAGCACACATACCAAAACTTTTGTGAAGCGTCTTTCAAGTTCCGATGGTTCTGGCATTGGTAATCGGATTGGCATCGAGGCCTTTCGTTCTGGCCGATGCAATTCGTGGCTGCTCTCGGAATTCCCCATTCTTTTCATTGATGCCGTTTTGTTAGGTCACAGTACTATATCCCTTTTCGATATATGAATGATAAAACAACATTATCTCCTCCTGAACATAAAAAATTTACGTTTTCTTGGCATGACAGACCATTATTATTATTCCTAATATTTCCACAGGCAGGGCGGAAATTACAATGTAGGGTGCGCTGTCAGTGACTCATCGCTCATTCTCGCGAGAGTTTCCTCTACTTGTCACTTCACAAAAGAACTAAAATAAATCTTTACTTTGCCACTTTTCGGCAAATGTAGCCTTATTTCCTTTACTAAACAACGTAATCGTAAATGCCACAGTCACAGGGCATGACAGGAATAATAATTTAGGTCTTAAAAACATAAATATTTTGTGCAAGTAAAAGAACCGAACCGGCCGGTGGTCTAAGGGAGGTAACTTCATTTAATGAATGAAGTTATGCTACAGACTGTTATTAAGTTAAATACGCCACTCGGAGCCGTATCTGTCATTATCATCAGTGTTTTTATGTCTAATAATTCCTGTTAACTTGGTTCCTGAAATAACATTATGTTCTATTGTTATGACGACTTATTCCTTAATGATCTGAAATTAAATGTAATGGAGTTATTCTAATGATTGGAAATAAAGCTTTACCATCTGTGTGTGAGTTGTTCTGTACAACAGTTATCTGAAATATCTATAGGCTGATGTTTTAAATCATCCAGTAATTTTGTTATATATAACTGTATGCTTGTTACAATATTTGGGCAAGAGCATGAGCCGACTCTATGGGAAACATTATTGTCAGAACGTTAGTTCCTTAGAACGGCCCACAACCACGTCAAAATGTTCACCGCCTTCACAACCAAGAATAATGTTGACAGTTGGCATCTCTTTTGAATTTCAATTTTTTTGGTTATTTTGATGGTTATAATATTCTCCATACATCTCCTGAAGACCGCCATATGGGAAATAACTCTTCAAGACTTAATACTATAAGACAACAATTAACTATTCCCACAATCATTGAGTTGTAAATTATGCTCTTTTGGGGGGAAATTGACCCCCACTAATTGATATCATGTTCTGAATCTCTAGTATTCATTACTTCGTAAGTCGTCTTATTTTTTATACTATTAAACATGATTAAACCAGTAAGACTTTGACTTTACAATAGGCTATAATACTCTTACTACAGTTACAAAACCCTACACTTTTGACAACTCAAAGCTAGAGTGAAAATTATTTTGTGCCTCAAAGTAGCCTGAAGAAGGAGTAACCTACAGACAGTAGACTTATATAATATTTGATAATTTCTGTCATTTCAATGACAATTAGTAATATTGGACAAGCCTATAGGCCATTGTCCCTTTAAATTTTTTAGGTTACACCCTGAACGTGATCACCGAGTTTTAGTACTAAAAATAGATTCAATACGTCAGTTCCGGTTTACATTGACGCGGTTGTGAGTTCAAGAAGTGATGTGGAAACACTTTTTTACTTTCTAACTTTATTTTAAAACATTAAACTACCTGGATAAATGATAATTCTGCTCCTGAAACTGACGTGAGTATTCATAGATTTTGTAACAATTCAGATCGATGCGGAAAAGCAACTGGAAAGCATCGGTTTCACACTTCACAGTCAAAAGACTGGAGGAGCCGAGTAGGATGTTGTAATGTTACTGAGAATGTTGTTGACATTTTGACTTTGACATTTGTAGACTTTCATGACTGGAAAGTTGTGTAATTTCCCTATTTGATAACTTAACAGTCTTAAGACTAGTCATAGACAGGTCCAGTAGAAAAGATAAACATATATCTAGCTTAAATGTCATATTCATATAAATGGCTATGCAGCAATTACTTTATTAGTAGGCCTATTTACTATGTATGGCATGGTCCATGTTATGTAAAAATATTTTATGGGCTTAACAATTATGCATAAACATAACCTATTTTAAATTCAAACTTTTAATGACCTCAACACCAAATGTAAATAAATAAAGCTGACACTGGGCTGACTCTCGGAAGCACTGGCAAAGGCATCAGAAGGCATTTTTTTGCAGAGAGTGAGAGGCTCTACATCACACTGTCACAGAGAATTTCTTTGATTTTTCATAGGAATGTAGAGATGACACGACCTCCAAAAGTAGGGATGACTTTCAACAGTACCATTCAAACAAAAAACTTTGAATTCTTTGGACTTGGTAAGAGACCTTAAACCCACTTCTCAAATCTTGACAATATTCTGATAATTTTTTCAAAAATGTTTTGAAGATTTTGTATAATGTTTATTGGATTGTTTAGATCCAAATTTGGCAAAAAATAATTTCCCTGCAAAAATGTACTTGAAAACACTTATGTCAAAAATCGATTTTCCTGGCCTTTTGAAAGCATTTAACACTTTGGCATCTTCAAATAGAGAGAGTTTCTAGAAAATTAGAGAATTTCAAAGTCAAGTTTGTATTCATTCCCTGGCTCAATGTCTTATTTGGTTGATAATTTGAAATTATTCACCCTCAGGGATTGCTGTTGATTGAATTAAGGCTGAATATTCAATAATTCATTCATATGTCAAAGATTAGGACTGTATTATAGCTGAACTTGGAAACGTTTAAATAACATGGAGAGTAACAAGACTGGTTAAAATCAAACAGAACCAGTGAGAATATTAGAATTGATCGAGAATGTTGAGATGAAGAGAAACACTCTTGTATGTTCAAACTGTGTATTGATCTATCATGGAGGCTAGACAATCAACTTGATGCTTTTAATATCCAAATCTAAGAGTAGAAAATAATAAACTACTATATAGCGTGAACCGTGAGATATTGTGGTGCTGGTAAGTTTGTTTGTTATTTTGAAGTAAAAATGTCTCCAGTCTTCTGAGGAATGTCTGTTTTGTAGTGTGAAATATGATAGTAAATCATAACAGAAGAGACTGGTAAGATATTTTGTAATACTGGCAAGTGTTATTTTTTGTAACTGAGCTTACATTGTTTTGTGGTAAATAATGTCCTTGACATCTGATATTTTGTGTTTTAGTTTGGGTTTGACTTTAGTCTTGAATATATGTTAATAGTCATCAGAATTACTAGAAATGTAAGAAAATCGCATAATTCCTTTAAAAATACATCAAACTAGGAATTTTCTTCACCATTTCTATCACAGAGTGTCTAAAAATTACGAGTCATCATTATAAGATTCAAATACAGATAATTCTGGACACACATGGATCTGAAGGCTCTAATTTTGATGGTGAGCTGTGAACACTATTAATGATTGGCCCATTTCTGAGACTAAAGTATGATTGGTGAAAAAAATAGCACATCCATCCCTTTAAGTTTACAGTTTATTGTAATGGAAATATATCAATATGATTGCTATCAGCTGGAACTTAGAAAAGACTGGACCACATTTATTACTCTTATCACTGGGGTGACATCTGCATCTCTTCAACAGGTCTTGAACTATTAGACATTTTCAATAAGGTTGCATTGGATGTCGGATGATGGAGTGAGAGCCATGGTGTAATTTTGGAGGCTCAGCATGGTCTGATTTGCTTTATCAAGTTGATAATCTCTGTAGAGGCACAGCACACTTGTACTCCTGTAGAGTGTAGAATGCATGGTTCCTCTGTAGACTGGACTTGTCATGTATGCATCAAGTTTAAATACTACCACCAAGCTATAATTACATGCTGGATAGGGTATGATATCATTGATGAGGTCTTATGGATGAATTCCTATTCAGGACAGCTGCTTTTAGAAATGGAAAATGAAAAGAGATGAAATATAACCCCCCTTTTTTCTTGCACTTGGTAAAATCTGTTTTTTTATGTATGGTAATCTGCAATGACGGGATTACAGTGGCATAAGCATACTGTTTTTTTAATTTCCAACTTTCGATGGAAGTTATACATGGTTGGTTTATTTTCTATGAATGACTTTGTACACAGCCCCACACTGACGAGTGACAAGGGAAAGGAGTTTGAAAAATCAAAACCTATGTCAGGATCAAATCCTGGCCCTTCTGGTTACTGAAGTGTTTCATAAACAAAAGTACTGGCTAGACAGAGTTGGTATTGTTATAAATACCGGTAATGATATAATAGTACCGGTACAAGAAGAAGACTAGCTTATTGATTCCAGTCTTAAGATTTTGATTAAATACCCAATTACATGTTCTAAAGATAACTTGTCTTTGATGTATGTGAATATTATCTTGCTAGAAAAACAGAATCCTGACTAGCTTTTCTTGGTCTCATCTGTAAAGGAAACTATAATTTAGATAACAAATAGAAAAATAACTTCAGAGAAGTTAAGTTAAGAAAACGTTTTGTTGATTAATTAAAGACCCATATTAGGAACAGAATAAGTAATGTTTTTGCACAATTTCTATTTGAAGAGTGAACACAAATAAATAATTTAAGACAAATAAGCCTCAAAACCTTTTGATGGTATGGTTGGCTGTTTGGTTATAGTTCAGTAGCCATATTAATTCAAATGAAATTTGTACATGATACAGTTGATTTGATTAACACAAGAAAAAACTTGTGTATTAAAAGGTCCAAATTGAGCATTACAGTTTTAGTTTTTACAAATCAGGCTCTTCTCTTTCCATAGAAATGTTACATTAGATAACATGATATTTGTCATGTAATTTATTTTTGTTCAAGGTTTTCATAGAAATAAAGCCTTTGACATCTGGTCTTGTGTCAAACAGTTTTGGAATTCATGATTCTTTAATGATGAACCAAACAATAATTCATTATACATACAGTTAAAACTAAAGAATGGAAATAGAGAGATGATTAGTCAGTGTTTGATAACTGTTATATAACTACTATACTGTATTGTTTTAAACAATAGACTTCAGTAGTATTAAATACTATAACAGTAGTTGATTAGTAGAGGTGTTAATAACATAGATCTTTATTAAAATATCATATTTCTATA